CCGTATATCCTATCTACTTAAGGGGGACTATACTATAACCCACGCTCCGCATTTTTTCATGGTCAGAGGAAGCGCTGCCAAAATGGCGAAAGGCTGTCAGAGCCTTGCTCAGCTTGCTTTAGGGTTTAGGGTTTAGGGTTTAGGACCTCCTTCGCTTGGAAGGATCATCCGGGTAAGGCAAACATCTAGGAAGCCAAGTGAGCTGTAGTCTAAACTCCTAGTATCCCCTTGAAAACCACATAGTAATCCCCTACATAAGCTCCTATATAACCCCCCTTCAAGAATTTAAACTATAGCTCATCTGAAGGAGATACAGTAGACGATAATTGAAGGTTCTCTTGTGAACAACCTTTCACAAAGCTGCAGTCGTAGTACAGCAGTCGTCCGGAGAGTTCCTGTATCCTTCGAAGCTACTCCCATTTTACAGGCCACAGGACTAGGATCAAGTTCATCTCCAACTGCAAATCACGAGCTGCTCTCATATGGTGAATGCCTCCGGTTTGCAGATCTTCGAGTCGCCAATGTAGAGGATTTCCTGATGCAACACCCGCACGGGCTTCAGCGTGATACGTGTCAGAGCACTGGTGGTGGCAGTGGCTGTGGTAGTGATGATGTCGGCAGCCGTAATATACTAGCAAGTGGCCGCGCTGGCGGTGGGTGGTGAAGGTGATGGGGGTAGTGGAGGCGGGGGTCGGTGTACCGACCCCAACAGCAATAACAAGCAGAACTCGAAGCATTTGCTGGGTTGCTGCTAAGAAACTTGAATTAAGTAGCTATTGAGGGGGCAAGCATATTGATTACTATACATATGTACCGATTATGGCAACTTAATACCCAAAACCCTACACCCTATATTATATACAACCATTATATGGAGACTTCATTTAAGTTCCTCAACAGCAACCTAACCCCAGAATATACCCTGTCACCCTGTATTATCCCTATATGCCCTTATTCTCTGCTCGGGGACTCCCATCAAGGGGGTACCCTAAACCCTAAACCACGTGGAGTTTCGACTGCAACCAAGTTTGTCAAGTGTAGGGTCTGAAGGACAGGTCCTTGTTCTTTACCGTTCCCTGAAAAACAATGGGGTTCAGGGTGTAGGGTATATAGGGTTTAAGGCTTAGGGCTTAGGACTCCAAACCCTCTGCCACGAGGCCTAGAGACGAACCCCAAAAACGGTAAACCACCCCCATGTCGAATTCGAACACAAAGCCCAAAAGTGTCTGAACCAGTATCCTCAAACCCTTAATGTGCGCCACTCAAGACGTAGACTTCAAATGTAGAAGCACCGAGAATTTGCCAAGAATATTCTTTTTAGAACCTGCATATAAGCCATAGTATAAGAGTACCCCGCCTAGTAACTTCTGTAATACTTCCTTATATAGTCTGCTATAGGGAGTTTAGACCATAGCTAATATAACTCTTTATTCAGTATATCATACCCCAGAATCAGCTCCAATCCTCTAGGCCCCTACGCTACAATCCTACTACCAAACCCTAACACTTTCCATTTCATTTCATGTTCGCAAGTTCTCTTCCAACCTGATTTTGGATCATTACAACCCTAAGCCTTAAACCCTAAACCCTTAACCATAAATCCTAAACCCCTGAACCCTAAACCCTACCCTATTTCCACCCCTACATTACTCCCGAAACATGCAGCGCGATTACCTCGAAGCCCAGCTCATGTGGGGTCGACCTGGGCCACTGCAGCCACACGGTTAAGGGTTTAGGGTTAGGGGTTTAGGGCTTAGGGTTTAGGGCTTAGGGCTAAGGGCTTAGGGTTTAGGGCTTAGGGCTTAGGGTTGTGGGTGTAGGGCTTGGGGTTCTCCTAGCCGCCC